GAAGATATATTAGGGAGAAAATACCATTAACTGAGGGATATAAAACATTTAGCTGAAAAAGACAACAGGAATAATTTACCTTACACCCTAATATAGACATTAGACCACACCAGAAGTAGAGATGGCAGGATCACCAGTAGCAATCATGAAGAGAAGGTTCCCAGAAAATAGTGAAGATATTGGTAATATCTCTAACAAATGAGAAAAAGGACCAGAAAGATAGTAAGTAAATGGCCAAAGGAGGGAACATTTGATGTAACCGTGATTGTATTGGCTAAAAAATGAAATATGACATTTACAGGGGGGACAGGAACAATAGAAGGGGAGACAGATTTTCCTAGGGTGTTGATCAAATAATTGATAATGGATCATTTGAGATGAGATCACATGTAGCAGATTTAGGGTAATCAATTAAATAATCATTGTATACTCTAGGAATTTTGAGTGGTTTTATGGATTAGTTATGAGGAATTAGATTGATACAAACAATTATTGTTGGGTTAGGACTGGGGATATCTGTATCATGTTTTTTGTGTACTACCATCTTTAGATTACTGATGGTAATTGAAGGTTAACAAAATGTATAACCAGGAGAAAGAGATTAGCTTATCTCATTGGAATGTTGCCCAGGGCGAGGGGGAGCAGTAGTGAAGTTAGGCAGTGAGCTACCAAATCAAGTGGGGCCTGGCTATTTGTGGTTGTTGTTTTTCAAATTTGGTTTTTCAAATAAAAAACAACACACCTAGTATGATGGTTATAAAGGGTTGTTATGTTAAAATTAGGCAGTATTTAAAAATAAGGGATGGCAATTGGATGATAAATTACCAATATTACCTAAGTGATTGTTTAGGTAGGTGGTAATATTGACACATGAGCAAAACATGTGTAAAAAGGGGGATGGTAGGATTAAATCATAAATATATACAAAGGAGAGGACAAAATACTTTAAAAAAACATTTTTTTTAGATACAGTCTAGAAAGAGAATGCAGTCAGACATAGAAATTGAGAGCTGAACATGTGTGAAGATAGTTTATTAACCACACCCGTATGTCAGAGGTTTTGTGCCCCACAGGTGAACTAAAGGAGAAGGTGACTGGTGAGCATCCAGTCCCTAAAGAAGAAAAACTGGAAGCAGGCCTGTTGGGAAGGGCCCTATCTGGTTATATTGGTCACTGCCTTTGCCATTAGAATAGCAGAAAGAGCAACCTGGGTCCACGTTACCCACTGCAAAAAGGTAAGAACACATGCAAGCACCACTGAACACATGCAGAGTTAGAGAGAAGAACTGGACAAATAGGGTCTGGGGATCACCTCTGTTAACGAAGATCTCCTACCCCGACCTATCATCACTGTAGTGTGTTCTCAGGGTGTGAGTATGGGGTAATACCAAGCAGAAAGACTGAGGACAGGAGAGGGTTGACGGTTTTTGGGAATATGGATAACTTGAGTTGCATCATAGTCTCGGCAATGGTCTTGATATGTCAAGATCCACCACCAATTGTGCTATGCCCTTACCATTGTTAAGAAGTAAAAGAGAAGAAAAGCGACCCGACATACTGACCGTCAAGGACGAGTGGCCTACAAAATGGGAGTCAGAGAAGGGCAGACTGTCAGATTCAAAATAAGGGTTAGGGACATAGCCAACGGGTGGGGTACATGTCAATAAGCAAATTGGGATTATAAAATCCCATTATATTCGTGTTCGGCCCCCACGGCGGATTGTTCCTTGACTCAGATGTTTAAACACACTTGGGGATGGGGATATGAGACCGAGGGGGACTGAACATCCAGATGGGGGGTAAAGAGAAACAAAGACATCACCAATTATCAATTGGAGATAGTAGTAATGTGACAGACTTAAGTTCGGAAGCACAGGAGAGAATTCTAAACCTTACAGCCCCTGTAACCGATGTGTGGTGGGCGTGTGCCAGTAAAGGCAGTATAAGGCAGAGAATTCCAAAAGGGTGGCTAGATACGTGCGCCCTGGTTCTACTGGTTCAGCTAGTTAGAATTAGTCACCAGGAACCAAGGATTAAACAGATGTAGGAGGAGTTTTAACAAGAAGGAGAATAGCCCTATTTAGATGGATGCGATTGGGATACCAAGGGGGGTATCGGATGGATACCGAGCTATGAAACAATTAGGGGAAGGGTTTACTACCACATTCTTTTGGTGGGTGACAATAAACAAAATTGTGAATTGGATTAATTATATCTATTACGACCAACAACGATTTATTGGCTGGACTAGGGATGCAACGGAAGGGATCTTTGAACAATTATCCGCCATCTCACTCTTATGACTTAGTAAAAAGAGGTTGGCTCTAGATCAGGCAGAAAGGGGTGGTGTCTATAGAATGGTAAGCCATTGTTGTACGTTTATCCCTAACAATACCAGTCCTGACGGGAGTATCTCTAAAGCCCTAGTTGGTTTAGATAAACTATCAGCTGAAATGAAGAGCATGGCTGGAATGGAGGGAAACGGACTGTTCTCCTGGTTGGGGGAGTGGTTTGGTAAGTATGCTGCACTGGTGGTTACTGGATTTCTGACCCTAGTAGTTGTGTTTCTAATATTAATGTGCTGTGCTGCCTGTGTAATTCCTTGTCTGAGAAAGTCTGTTACAGATGTCGTGCATACGGCTGGTATGATGCCCCTCCTAGGGGCTCAAGAAGGGGATGCAGACACTGAGTCTAGCTTTCGGAAGAAACTGGGGTTGACAAAGGTTATTGGTGAGGTGGTGGAGTGACACCCTAGAGGGTGTCTAAAGGGGGCCAAAGTTTACTTCCCTGTTTATGTTTTATGCTTTATTAATCAAGTTAACCATTGTGAATGTTTGTCTTTCCTTTTGTGAAGGTTTGAAGTTCCTGGGTAGCTGGTAGCCAACCTAGTACAAAAAGCCTATTAATAAAAGTGTGACTGTATTTTAGTGAGTGACACCCTAGTGGGTGTCAAAAGGGGGAATCCTACATTTCCCTGAAATGTTCTTATTTTGGGTTCACACCCAGCGGGTGTGAAAAGGGGGATTGTGGGGATCTATTTTCTTATAACTAGATGTGATGCCTAGCTTAGAAAGAATACATTAATGATTAAACATAATAGGTTTGTACTGTACTGATATAGATTGTTTAATATAACAAGCTGTGATTAATGTGGGGAACTGTTAGGGGGTAGGATGAGATAAGACTTGTGTCTCACATACACACACACTGCCTCTTTGTTAAACCGCTCAAGGACATGTGTTCTGCTACAAAGATGTCTGAGGTTGCTGACTCGAGACAAGTTGTGGAGATAACAACTAATGCCTGGCAACAGTGAAGCGCCAAGGGGATGGGACCAGCCTGTGTGCCAAGGATAGGCTGAGTAAGTCTAAACCACGCTCAGTCTCTACTCTGATAGGCCAGCAGGGAGCGGGAACTATCTCTGTCAGAGTATTTAAAGAAGAACTTATAACAATGGCTCAGTTCTCTGTCTGCCCTGCGTGGTTTTTCAGTGGGCCCGTATATACGAACATCATATTTACCAATTCAAGTGTTTGCATTAATTAAAATACTAGTCTATTTTAGAAGACGTGTATTGACCTCTTTTTGTTCCTATACCAGATTTGAATTGACGCAACTTAACAGTAGTCTTGGCCGGCAAACGCTACCGGTGTGTCCGTGCCTTTATGAAAACCCTATAAGTCAAGTTTTTCATCCAAGTGAGAGAAAAAACACACAAAGCAGGCCATTGTACATAAATAGATTCTCATCTTTATTTATAAACATTGCATACAAGTGCATAATATAGAGGTGACACATACATTCATATCAATGATTAAAGGAACCTAATTTGTGACTAATGTGAAATCAAATGGCACTCGGTAAGGAACACTTAGTGCATGATCTTCAGTTTTTTAAATCATAAAATGCAATCAATCAGCACATTGCTTGCTTGAGTACAGTTATGTTATTACAGAAGATTAATCAAAACAAATTAAAATGGTGTAGAAAGGCAGATCTTGATCAAATATTTAATTTAACCGGTCATTCGACAATATAAATTAACCCAAAAGAGAAAGAGCATAGACATGCTAAACAAAAAGCCTCTCAAATGCCTGTAGCAGTACATCATAATCCAGTATATCTACAATAAAGTGCTCGTGATAAAAGGATATGGCATCATCATAGTCTTAGAAACGTTTTACATAACACAGCATCATAGTTGTTACAGTCATTTTGATATTAGCATACCTGAGAGTTGTATTTCTTGGCTGCGGGTTACATTTTTCAGCATTTAGAATTCATTCCTTTAATAATCTCAAAATATAGTTTAACTAATAAGACTTGACTGATTGCTGCTAAAGACCTGGGATTGGTCCAGCGTCTTATCTATAAACCGTTTATAGAATTTTCTATACAGTAAGCACTTTGAGGCACCCATGCAATACAGTCTTGACATATCAGCTTTGAATAATATTAATCTTCCTACCATCTAGTAGCATGAGTTTCCTCTACTGATAGGAGTCAACCCAGAGTAACTAAACTGAGGTGGGACTTCCCAGACAACATAATGGATCCAGGAGTGATGTGAAGAAGAGGGATACTGCACTGAGTTTGTTTGGAGTGACGACTCCAAACAAACTCCCCTATTGGTCTGTTGGTCTAGCACATTTTGCCATGACTTATGCCATGTTAATGATATCTGAGTGAGAGTAACAAAATCAATGGGCCCCTGGGCACGTATCCTGTGTGACCTGTCGGTATTCGGCCATGATTACTACAAGTTTAGATAGCTGGCTAGAATAATTTACCAATCTAAAAATGGTTAGCTGACATGGCTAATTGAGTGACTGTCAGTGACTGACAAAACAAGATAAAAATTGCTGATGCACAACCAAATTGTTTTTTTGGGGAGTTTGTGTTGTGGTGTGTGTGCGTCTGTGTGTTGGAGCCACTTCTCTCTCTGGTCATGTCCCTACCCTCTTCACTCCATCCTCCTCTCCTCCATCCCTCCTCTCCTCTCAGCCGCTTAGGGGGTGCAGGTCCACCCTGACCTTTTCCCCGGTGCTCATCATGCCGATGGTAGGGTAGAACCCCCCTGCTGGCACTGCCACCTCCTTGCGGCCCACCACCTTCCCATTCCGTGTGAAGAACACCTAGCACAACACAAGGGTGCGACAGTGAGCTAATATTCACACCAGGGTTAGGGTTGATTCAATTTAAATGAATTTAGGATATGAACAAAGGTGACAATTTCCACTTAAAATTCAGTGCCTACTGTTTTACAACTCCTATATCAATCTGTACACATCACATATACAGTGGGGGAAAAAAGTATTTAGTCAGCCACCAATTGTGCAAGTTCTCCCACTTAAAAAGATGAGATAGGCCTGTAATTTTCATCATAGGTACACGTCAACTATGACAGACAAATTGAGATTTTTTTTCTCCAGAAAATCACATTGTAGGATTTTTAATGAATTTATTTGCAAATTATGGTGGAAAATAAGTATTTGGTCACCTACAAACAAGCAAGATTTCTGGATCTCACAGACCTGTAACTTCTTCTTTAAGAGGCTCCTCTGTCCTCCACTCGTTACCTGTATTAATGGCACCTGTTTGAACTTGTTATCAGTATAAAAGACACCTGTCCACAACCTCAAACAGTCACACTCCAAACTCCACTATGGCCAAGACCAAAGAGCTGTCAAAGGACACCAGAAACAAAATTGTAGACCTGCACCAGGCTGGGAAGACTGAATCTGCAATAGGTAAGCAGCTTGGTTTGAAGAAATCAACTGTGGGAGCAATTATTAGGAAATGGAAGACATACAAGACCACTGATAATCTCCCTCGATCTGGGGCTCCACGCAAGATCTCACCCCGTGGGGTCAAAATGATCACAAGAACGGTGAGCAAAAATCCCAGAACCACACGGGGGGACCTAGTGAATGACCTGCAGAGAGCTGGGACCAAAATAACAAAGCCTACCATCAGTAACACACTACGCCGCCAGGGACTCAAATCCTGCAGTGCCAGACGTGTCCCCCTGCTTAAGCCAGTACATGTCCAGGCCCGTCTGAAGTTTGCTAGAGTGCATTTGGATGATCCAGAAGAGGATTGGGAGAATGTCATATGGTCAGATGAAACCAAAATATAACTTTTTGGTAAAAACTCAACTCGTCGTGTTTGGAGGACAAAGAATGCTGAGTTGCATCCAAAGAACACCATACCTACTGTGAAGCATGGGGGTGGAAACATCATGCTTTGGGGCTGTTTTTCTGCAAAAGGACCAGGACGACTGATCCGTGTAAAGGAAAGAATGAATGGGGCCATGTATCGTGAGATTTTGAGTGAAAACCTCCTTCCATCAGCAAGGGCATTGAAGATGAAATGTGGCTGGGTCTTTCAGCATGACAATGATCCCAAACACACCGCCCGGGCAACGAAGGAGTGGCTTCGTAAGAAGCATTTCAAGGTCCTGGAGTGGCCTAGCCAGTATCCAGATCTCAACCCCATAGAAAATCTTTGGAGGGAGTTGAAAGTCCGTGTTGCCCAGCGACAGCCCCAAAACATCACTGCTCTAGAGGAGATCTGCATGGAGGAATGGGCCAAAATACCAGCAACAGTGTGTGAAAACGTTTGACCTGTGTCATTGCCAACAAAGGGTATATAACAAAGTATTGAGAAACTTTTGTTATTGACCAAATACTTATTTTCCACCATAATTTGCAAATAAATTCATTACAAATCCTACAATGTGATTTTCTGGATTTTTTTCCCTCATTTTGTCTGTCATAGTTGACGTGTACCAATGATGAAAATTACAGGCCTCTCTCATCTTTTTAAGTGGGAGAACTTGCACAATTGGTGGCTGACTAAATACTTTTTTTCCCCACTGTAAAACCCTAACTAATTAGACATAACCCCTCTCCTGCCTCTCACAGAGCTAATGCTCTGGCCCTGTTTGAAGGTTTGCTGATGTAGACAAAAGAGAGTCTCTCACCATGACCTTCCTCCCCTCCTGCTCCCCCTCCAGTTCCTCTCCATCCTCCTCCTCGTCTTCATCGTTCATGTAGAGGTCGTTCTGGACACGCCGCTGCTTGGGCCGCACCTCCAAGTCCCCGTCGTCTCTGTCATCTGAGGGAGCCACACCGATATGCTCAGAAAGACAGACACACAGACACATGGCAAGACAGACAGATTGATAGACAGGGAGACAGTTAATTAAGTATACCATTCAAAATCCCCACTCACATTTGCTGCTTTATTTTAATTTGATCATCTAATGACATTGTTTGTTTCATGGTTGTCTGTCTCAAATGGCAGCAGCCTATTGGTCCACTCACCTCCACTGTCCAGGATGTAGTCCCGTGGGAACATGATGCCACAGCCCATGACGTCCCCCTCAAAACAGCGAGGGCCAAAGGCGTCCCCCACCCCTCTACCCTGGAAGAGCTTCCCATCATCTGAGAGAGGGAAGGATAAAAGAGATAGTGTGTGTATGAGAGAGCATGTATGCGAGTTTGAATCATTCTGTATTTCAATTCCATGCAAATTCAGTCAGTTCAGGGCAAACAGAAAATTCCTATTTCAATTAATCTCCTAGATTAACTGAATTGAAAACAAAAATGAGCCCAACCCAGAACTTCCAAATGAGTGAGATGATTGAGACTCCGACTGCTGTGTGCCTAGAACAAACTTAAAACTCCATTTGTCCTCATCTCAACCTCCCTCGCCAGTAGAATAGTCAACCAGAGGTCAGGGGGAATACGAGAGGAAAGAGCTACTATCTCATCCTTAGGGTGGATTTTAGGAAGAGAGAAACAATGACATGGAACAGATGAAACATGAAGAGATCACTAGGTGGGGTTTCACCTAATCACCACTTTGGCAGATAAACAGTGATAAACACACAGGCTTATCATAAGACAAACACACTGATAAGGGTATCCCACCATTCATGGGGACTTGGACAACTCCTTTCTCAGCTTTTCTCTCAATCTGGCTGAGCCCTACATGGCACCCTATTCCCTACATAGTGCACTACTTTTGACCAGAGCCCTATGGGGCATTCTGTCTATAGGTTAAGTCAGGGCAGCACAGTTCATATACAGTATGTTGGAGTTGGACAAGTTCTGCCTTTTCTGTATATGTTTGAGTTGGACCACTTCTCCTTTCTGTCTTCCTCTATAGGTTAGCCAAGGGCTACACCAAACAGGCCTTTCATACAGACACATAAGGATACATTCTGTTCTATACAGTATGAGATTGACTACTTCCTCACTATGAACTGAAGGCGTTCAAACTGTGGGCCGAATCCTAACTTGAGATAAGTATGAAAAGCTAGTTTAGATAAAGAATACATTGACGTCAATGGGAGATTTGTGTGACAGTTTTGACTTCTGCACGTGTCTCAAGTGAGGAGTTGGTCTGAACAATAATTAGAATCATGCATGGCTAGCAGGTACAGAGACAGACACATTCAAGCAACCAACCAAACCATCACGCAGGAACACTTGCAGACAGACAGACAGACAGACGCTACATGACTCTGGACACTCACCTGCATGATAGGCTATGGAGCCCCTGCTCCAGCCAGGGTGTCTGTTTTTGGGGTAATCCTGTGAAATTAAGTGATAATATGTCAATGCAAAGCTAACAGAAACCCCAACAAAGGCCCAGTGTTGTAGCTGATAAGATCTGAAGATAAGTAATAACAATATTATTATTAAGATGAGTCACATTTAATGGGGGTGCACCCTGTCCATCAGCCCATACAATGGAAGACTCAGATATAATAATAATAATAATAATAATATGCCATTTAGCAGACGCTTTTATCCAAAGCGACTTACAGTCATGCGTGCATACATTTTTGTGTATGGGTGGTCCCGGGGATCGAACCCACTACCTTGGCGTTACAAGCGCCGTGCTCTACCAGCTGAGCTACAGAGGACCACAGATACTAATCTTTAACACACCGTGGGTAATATCAGCTGGGGATGGCGTCACCGGAGCTAACAGCCCTAGCTTCTATGCTGGTATTATTCACTGAAACACACAAAGACATGTACTGTGGCGCCACCAGGTCACGACTAATGCTAACTGGTGTGGAGAAGAATGAGAAGAGAGCTGCCTTTGTGCCAATGGAAGCCCCTATGGCCACAGTGGCAAGGGTTTTACTGGTATAGATATGGAGAGATAGAGACACAGGGAGGAGAGGACAGTGGATAAAGAGAGGGTCAGATAGTGGGAGAGGTATGGAGATGGACAGGTGAGGCAATGGAGAGATGGGAAGATGAGGAGATTAAATGTGAGTATGATCAAGGGATGAAAAAGTGAAGATGACGACCATGATAGATGAGAAGAAAGAGATGGAGAGGTAGGAGACCGAGAGATAGAATGACACAGGAATGTGTATCACACCATCCCACCATTCTCCAATAAAAAAGAGGATTCAAAGTTGTCACTGATCTGCTTTCACCACAAGTGGACTTAAGTGGTTTCTGAACAGGGATGACGTCCGCCTCTGATTTTTCCTGTGAGAGGTAATGGTTCACAATCAACACATTAATGAGGATGGCTCATTGGGCCTGCTAGGAGGTGAAGGGGAGGAGTGGAAGTCTGAAACCTCAGGAATGGCAGACTGTTGGATTTATGATGCCCCACCAGAACCACAGACTGCTCTAGAAAATAATTCCCGGAAAACAATCAGTGAAATCACAGAGCTCTATTCTCTCGCCCTCATCCAGCCTTTAGTGCCAAGCAACACACACAGACAAGAGTGCTAAGGTTTAGGAGGTAGGGAGAGATTGACTGTGTGTGACATGACATTAGGCAACCCCAGAGATTAACAAGGGTGTGGAATTGATCAAAGGTAGATTAATTGGGCAAACGTAACTAACTGACATCAGGATGGTTTCGCTTCATAGGCCAATGGAGGACTTACTGTCATTGTCTGGGTACAACACATCCTTACAACACCCATGGAACCACAGTGGTGAGCTATCAGGAGGTACAGGCCAAAGATAGAAGACACCAACACCTATTAAAAAGTTGGGGCACTCAAAAAACAGGCAGAGATTTACTTCTTATGTTCAGGCTTTGCTCCATTTTCTGATGAAGCACGGGTATCCTGACGTTTCTCCTCTGAATAAGTCCTTTTGGAGGGTTTTTGTCCTGCCATTTGTTGTTGAGCAAACCTACTCCCCTTTGTTTGTTGAAACGGGGAGGCATATCTGAACTGTGACTTACTTGAAACTCTCCATGAAGTTGGAGCTCCAGATGTAGTCAAAAAGTTTAAGAAGGATCCAGCAGTATCTAGGGGCTCTTATTTCCAGGTTCTCTTATCTGATAAAATAACTGACATATCTGAAGTAGGAGCTCTTTAATTTACATTAAACAGGATGGGCAGATTCCATGTTGATCAAATCTCTGCTGTCATAATGAGTTCAGGTGTCTCTGTGTTGAGCAAACAGTCATTAGACAAGCCCTCTCTAAACTGCCTGTCAGATGATATTTCCACAATATGGAGATAATCGCTGTCATCAATTATACAGAGAGACACCGTTGGAAGGGGTCCAAATTAATTAATTTATGATATTAGCTTTTATCTACGATATTAGCAACTTGATCTTTCTAACCCAGAGGACGCAAACACTTGCTGTATACTTTGCTTTTTACGTAGTTTCTTTCTGTGTAAGCAACTCAACAGACAAAAATGCCCAGCTACCTAGCGGCTAAATAGCCATGCTTGGAAAACTGCCACACTGTGAAAGTTGTCATTCACTTGGAAATAGTGAAATAAACTATGCTTGCCATGAGTAACAGAAGAAAAATAACAGCGATAGATGGATAATATGAGTGAGAGAGAAAGAGAAAAAAGGAGAGAGAAAAAAAAAAGAGAGAGAGAAAAGAGAGAGAGAGAGAGAGAGAGATAGAGAGATAGAGAGATAGAGAGATAGATAGATAGATAGATAGATAAGTGGCTGTAATCTTGTGAGGTGGAGACCGGGTTCGATACAGCACATTTCCCACACTCCACTTCAGTCAGTGTTGCTATCATGTTAGCACGATTGGCTAGCATGTAAATGGAACAGCCTGTGTTTTCTACGGAACACCAAATGAGGGGTTCAAATGAGACAATATTTATTCTGTTGTTCGCTTTTCCCCTCTCCGTCATCCATCACTCAGAATGGGGTGGAAATAGTGAGAGAAGTGGAGGAGAAGGAGGAGAGGATCGTCATGGCTGGGGTAGCGAGATAAGTGACAGCAACATTTGACCAAAGGCACTGACTGGTTACACAACTACCTCAGTTTCTTTTTCCTTTTACCTCCTTTTCACCCCAAAATTAAGGTTTGATTGGCATCTTGCCTAATTCCACCTTTTTAGATGGTGCCCATCTTTCCCATTCATTTGGAATTGAGGCCTGCATATATCTTTAAATGCACATTCAGAATTTGTACAACAGATGTAGATGTTATATACGGATTGGTATGAAAACATGTATTTTATGTGATATTAGAGTGAATTAAGAACCGTAGAATGCTATGGAAGTATAACATGTTTCAGATGGACTCATTCTAGGCTGGATAATGAGAATGTAGGGTGATGATGACGATCATAATAGTGTCATTGATGTTCATTGTGCTGGAGATAATGACAATAGTGATAATAGCAATGAACAATGATAATGATGAAGTTGATGATGATTTTGTATGAGGACGTGGACTGTGATCTAGCGGTTACTGCCGCTGCATTCGGAGCACACATGTACTGTATGTCAGTGCTAGAGTTTGCTTGAATCTGGCCCACGCACGCCCTTCTAGCACACCATTTCTGCTGTTTACTTTCCTCTCTCTTTACTGACTCCGTCCAATAAACTAGAAAAATAATTTAAAAAATGAAATATGATAAGGACACGTACCCTGCGTGCCAGTCCCAGGGCGATGTAGCACTTCTCTCCTGCGTCAGTGATCTCCAGCTCATAGTAGTGGCAGCGTGTGTTGAGGGGTAGATCGGCCTGGGCCAAACCCACATCCATGATGCTTTTCCCTTTACCCACGTACTCTACCAACTGATGGGGAGAAGGATGGTATCACACAATACAATAAGGCAAATAAATAAACTAATTGAAAACCCATTCTTGCACAAACCCACTAGCTCAATGGAGTACATTCAGTACCATTTAACAGCATCAAGGACACAGGGCCAGGGAAGTAAAGAAGAAGCACATTCTTCTCAGTACGTTCAGCACACAACTACCCTCAGGACAAGAACAATAGACAATTTATGATATGATTATGTCATATATTGATTATAAAAACACACTGTTGGCTCAGTAAAAAAAAACACTTGTAAATATTGATTTTCATACCGTTCCTGTAACATACCGGGGTATACGTATTAGCGGCAGTGGACACAAGCGCGCTATTTCTTGAAAATAATGCTTACAAAAGACTAACAAATTACTAGCGAATTCCCATAGCGGATGCTAGCTGACAAGCGCAAGAAAACATAAACTAATTGCAAGGACAGACAACCCAGCTCCTAAAGTTACACAACTATCTTAAAAGGCTACTCACAGTTTGCTGCACGCTCAAAACTAATTTAGGCAGCAGGGATCCTGAACCAGGAGGGGACTGATTGTCTCTGTTGTAACCAAGAAGCTTGATCTTGCAAGTTAGGGACAGTTCGAAATTTACTGGGGTAGGGGGTGGGGTTCCAAAATATGGGAGGGTTGTCTAACCTTTTTTTTGTTGCGCAGGGGAGGGTAGTGTGTTTTTTCCCCTTGGTTTACATTTGCTCTATTGCATGTTTTATTAAATTATTTCTTCCATCCTAGCCCAATGTCCTTATCCGCTTGCATGTGCCTCCCCTATATCAAGGTGTTTTGGTTCTTCCCTTATGCACTACGCTTTTCCACGTGCTAACTTTGACTATACCACAGGTCAATATAGTCTACCAATCCTGCGCTCTGTCCAACATTCAGTGACAATATTGGTAGGTGGATTATTTGTCCAGATCTGCAATAGGCTAACTAGCAATCATACCACACATAAAGGCATTCAAAGAAGCATAAAAATTCAATATGAATCCAAAAGAACAAATAAAAATAGCTATTGCGCATGAAATAACTAAAAAAAGCTCCCCTATTGATCTTGTTTAGGGACAATACAATGATCCTATCTAGGCTAGCCTACAACAAACACCACAATGCAATGAATAATTGCATTATTGTATTCAAGCGAGTACAAAATTATACTCTAGGCTGCAGTGAAAAAAGTTTCATTTGAATAACGCTGCAAAAGACCTGTGATGTAAATGTTTCTTTCCATTTGGATCAGTTGTGGGTCTACTCTCCACAGTTTATAAGGTCTAGAAAGACACAGTAGCAGGCCAGTCTGGCTGTATTTTCCCTTCTGATAGTGAGATGTGCTGCCTGTTGCGGATCGTCATTCTCCCAAATCGTCTATAATATTGTGGCCACATGCTCCCGGCAGGCCAGTTATTCAGGAAAGCTAAACACGTGCTCTGCCTCCTCTCCAATCTGAGCAACTATTCCTCGCGCACATAGTGGGGGAAAAAAGTATTTAGTCAGCAACCAATTGTGCTAGTTCTCCCACTTAAAAAGATGAGAGAGGCCTGTAATTTTCATAGGTACACGTCAACAATGACAGACAAATTGAGAATTTTTTTTCCAGAAAATCACATTGTAGGATTTTTTGTGAATTTATTTGCAAATTATGGTGGAAAATAAGTATTTGGTCACCTACAAACAAGCAAGATTTCTGGCTCTCACAGATCTGTAACTTCTTCTTTAAGAGGCTCCTCTGTCCTCCACTCGTTACCTGTAATAATGGCACCTGTTTGAACTTGTTATCAGTATGAAAGACACCTGTCCACAACCTCAAACAGTCACACTCCAAACTCCACTATGGCCAAGACCAAAGAGCTGTCAAAGGACACCAGAAACAAAATTGTAGACCTGCACCAGGCTGGGAAGACTGAATCTGCAATAGGTAAGCAGCTCGGTTTGAAGAAATCAACTGTGGGAGCAATTATTAGGAAATGGAAGACATACAAGACCACTGATAATCTCCCTCGATCTGGGGCTCCACGCAAGATCTCACCCTGTGGGGTCAAAATGATCACAAGAACGGTGAGCAAAAATCCCAGAACCACACGGGGGGACCTAGTGAATGACCTGCAGAGAGGTGGGACCAAAGTAACAAAGCCTACCATCAGTAACACACTACGCCGCCAGGGACTCAAATCCTGCAGTGCCAGACGTGTCCCCCTGCTTAAGCCAGTACATGTCCAGGCCCGTCTGAAGTTTGCTAGAGTGCATTTGGATGATCCAGAAGAGGATTGGGAGAATGTCATATGGTCAGATGAAACCAAAATATAACTTTTTGGTAAAAACTCAACTCGTCGTGTTTGGAGGACAAAGAATGCTGAGTTGCATCCAAAGAACACCATACCTACTGTGAAGCATGGGGGTCGAAACATCATGCTTTGGGGCTGTTTTTCTGCAAAGGGACCAAGACGACTGATCCGTGTAAAGGAAAGAATGAATGGGGCCATGTATCGTGAGATTTTGAGTGAAAACCTCCTTCCATCAGCAAGGGCATTGAAGATGAAACGTGGCTGGGTCTTTCAGCATGACAATGATCCCAAACACACCGCCCGGGCAACGAAGGAGTGGCTTCGTAAGAAGCATTTCAAGGTCCTGGAGTGGCCTAGCCAGTCTCCAGATCTCAACCCCATAGAAAATCTTTGGAGGGAGTTGAAAGTCTGTGTTGCCCAGCGACAGCCCCAAAACATCACTGCTCTAGAGGATATCTGCATGGAGGAATGGGCCAAAATACCAGCAACAGTGTGTGAAAACCTTGTGAAGACTTACAGAAAACGTTTGACCTGTGTCATTGCCAACAAAGGGTATATAACAAAGTATTGAGAAACGTTTTTTATTGACCAAATACTTATTTTCCACCATAATTTGCAAATAAATTCATTAAAAATCCTACAATGTGATTTTCTGGATTTTTTTTTCTAATTTTGTCTGTCATAGTTGACGTGTACCTATGATGAAAATTACAGGCCTCTCTCATCTTTTGAAGTGGGAGAACTTGCACAATTGGTGGCTGACTAAATACTTTTTTTCCCCACTGTAGAACCTAACACTTTAATATAGCCTAAATGTTTATAATGTAACTTTTATATGTGGCATAAACACAACCAGTCACAATGTTGTAATCTGATTAGGCTAATTCATGTCTCCTGTAGGCATGCACACATTCGTCCAAAATATTATTCCAGCATCCTCAAAATGGCGTGACATTAACCAGGTTTTCATTCAACCTTTTTATGGGAGTCAAGTACGTCGGATAAAAAGTGTCACGACAGGCCTGATGGAAACAGCAAATTTGTTGGTAAACTTTCCAAATGTCGACAAAACAAAATACTCTAGACAAGGTGGGATCTTTCTGTGTCTGTAATCTATAATGCGGAGAAATGGCGGTGGAAACGCTTTTATGCACAAATATTGATATAATAACCATCATATCGAAGTAAACTTGGAGTCACGCAATGATATGTTGTGTGGTCCTCCCACTACGACAGTTAATTAGGCTACAGATTAAATAAGTTATGATTAACTTCATAGGGTGGTGAAAGTGCACAGTGATGAGCTTGATTCTCCTTTCAATAAGTAAACAATCTTATTCTGGTGATATGATGATTGATGCTTGGCTGCCGTTTGACAAATACAAATAATCTCGCCCTTTTGTCCATAATAATCTCATCATGTAGGCTATACCCGCACTGTATCTGCGAGCTGTTGGCTAGAGCGCACATACCAGAGTGAGCACTTTCACTATAGCTACGCAACATTTAACTTGTATTTTTATTCGGTACATGGGAATTTAACCGCAAAAGTAATTTGTATGTGCACTACGTATTTACACACAGATTATCCGCAACATGTCAATTTGATGGAAACACAACTCTGATGGGAAAATGCACATGAAAATCTGCCGCCAATTGGATGGAAACCTAGCTATAGACACCCTAAAGACTCTGGGAAGTGCGCTAGTTCAGTGTCACTTTGATTATGCCTGCACATTATGGTTCACCAGCATCCCCAAACATCTCAAAAATAAGCTGCAGACCAGCCAAAACAAGCATGTAAGAATTGTACTTCAACTCCCCCCTCATACTCATCTGGAGGTCGAGCATTTTAAGCAGCTAGGCTGGCTATCTGTGGAAAAAAATACTAGTATTAATTCAATTTAGTCTGGTCCACAAAATTATCACGGACTCAGTCCCCAGGTACTTATCCAACTATTTTTCATTTGTTAAAAATGTCCACCAGCATAATACCAGAGCCAGAGACTCTAATGTTCACTGTTTTAAATATAATATATATTTTTAGGCCTTTCCAATGCATTGATATACAAATTATTATTACATTCTAAAATGTGAGAATGATGTGGACTTGCCTGACAAAAGAAATTGGATGCATGGTGATTTTTCTGTAGCCTATGTGGCCGACGCAGGCACACATAATAAACCCACGAATAGTGGTAGCATTCATCTCACCATTTGAAGCTCACCATCGTTGTTTTTATCTTGAGAAAGTGACCAAAAACCAGGTTCCTTTTGTAATGGAAGGATTTGTATGGAAAGCCAAGTTTGAAGCCAGAATTAGATGTTGTCATCCTCATAATAACCGCACGTGGTTTTACCGCAATAGAGCATACCTTTTTTCCAGCACTTTTGCTGTTGTTGCATTGCATGCGGTATCACAACAGCTGTTTGTCACTTGACTGTCATTCAGAAAATTCCTTTCTGTATCAGAAGATGTGTGAAAATATAATGGGTAATTAAACAGCTCAACACCAAATGCACATCCAACAAGTATTATGCATAATTATTGAACAACCAAGGTAAGGTGACTCTCGGTTAGAAGCATTCGATTTTGCAAGTTAGAAGCATTCGATTTTGCAATCACCAACATTTTGGGGGCTTTGTGTGCCCATGAAAACTGTTTTCACCCCGTAACATAAGGAGACA